GTGCTCTTCCGATCTTAAAATACAAGTTTATTCATCAAAAGTGATATTGTCCCCTTCAAAGTACTCCCCATCGATTGCAACGCACTTATGCCAGCGCTTGATCCAGCTCTCGAAACATTTCTGGAACTCTATTGTCGGTATAGTCATCAGAGCCATTTTCGATTTTTCCATTACCTCCTTTCGGCTGTTAAAACGCGTTCCCCGTAGTGGTTTTTTGACTCGATCGAACAGAAAAATTCACCTGATATGGCTCCCTGCGATTTTTTTCTGTTCGATCGAGTCAAAAAACTACTACGGGGAACGCGTTTTAACAGCCGAAAGGAAGTAATGGAAAAATCGAAGACGGCTCTGATGGCTATACCGATAATAGAGTTCCAGAAATGTTTCGAGAGCTGGATCAAGCGCTGGCAGTGCGTTGCAGTCGATGGGGAGTACTTTGAAGAGGACAATATTACTTTTAATGAATAAACTTGTATTTTGAATTTTCTGAATAAATTCCGGGAACTTTGTGATCAAGGTGGTATGAACTTAATACGGACACTGTTGATGCCAATCCGATGTGATTTCTTATTTAAATCCGTTGACAAACTGTTAGCGTACTGCTAATATTTTGCTTACTACTTAAACTACTTTAGACTACCTTTTCGCAGGATGACGAGAAATAAACTCGTGTGGGTTAGGCGCGTAATCAAATACGCGGCGAGCAGAGTGATGATAATCGAGGTAACAATCGTGATTCTCGTTAACACGAGTATCGTCTCTTGCGCGTCCACGAAAAAACCCTTTTGCTCCTTCTTGTCTTCCTCCTTCTCTTCATCGTTAATGGGCCCCATTGTTTGTGGCTCACGGATCTGCGCGCGAGGGTTACGAGAAAGCGCGGTTGAAGGAAGGTTGGGATACCACTGGTTAGGATACTCGTCACGACAACGCGTCATCGCCGACGAATGAAAGCGACGTCCTCGGTAACGATAGCGCGACCGCCAAAGTGCAATATCATTGCTGTAGCGACGGAGATTTGCGAGGAGCCACGCAAGATTCGGGCGCAGTGACATCGTCGTGATTCATAATTTCTGTCGTTCCAAGACAACAGGAACGAAAGAGGGAAGCTATATTTTACGATCTGCAACACTTTGTAAACGCGTCCATGTCGCGAATTCACGCGGAACTTCTTATCCTTCCAAAATAGATTCTTCTCAATTAGATCGTGCGCGCGCGCATCTTTCCCGGCACGTCTTGCGTGAACTCTGAAAGCAATGCGCATCGTGTTGAAGTGCGTCAGCGAATTCTTAAGGAGGATTCACATTATCGCATCGGGCTAAACCTATTTAAACAACAACGATATTTCTATGCTGTTATTTTAAACGACAACAATAAATAAAAGAAGTAGCAACAAACCTATGCATCAACACTACATTAGCTGATAATTTAAGCTGGATATCACCGTATCATCTCTAACATTATGATACTGATTGATGCGTGAAAAAGGATTTATTGAAATATGATAAAATAAATTTAAGCCACAGATTTGCAGTGTATTATAAGCGAACTTTATTATGCGCAAAGGTTTTACAAGTTCTCAGTGTCAAGATTGTTACGAGAATAAAAAAACATACAATAAACAGCATACGTAACCCAGGAGAAAAATAGTAGAATGTAAAAGACAAAAGATCCTGCAACTAACTTATCTCTTATAAAAATACAATAATGCAAAATTATTCTCTACAACAATATATTTATTTCTACATCTAATTCGTATTGATAAAATGGACTTGATATATACAGGGTGATCCATTTTAATTTAGACAGTCAAATATTTGGAACTCGCGAGGTTTGAGAGAAAAATGTTTCAGACAAAAGTTTTGGGACTTCGAGGGAGACATAAGATGATAACATTGGTTTGATCCTGAATGGCGTCGTCAAGGTCAGGACAAGGTCAATTTGAAATTTTTTAAATGGAACCCTCTATTTTTCATTGCATATTTTTGTTGCTTATTTGGAGAGCTTTCCAAAACACATAGATAAAATGTATTTTAATTAAAAATCTTGAGTTACGAAGCTTGAAAGTTACAGTACCATCGACATTAGCATTATCCAAGGTGTCCGAACAATGGCTGAAACCTTTTCAGTGTTGTTCAAGATCATGATCTTGACAACTTGTGTCAAGGCCATGATCATTGGAGATTGTTTCTCTTATTTTCATTTTTGAAAATTATTTTAATATTTTGGAAATAAGAGAAACAATCTCCAATGATCATGGCCTTGACATATGTTGTCAAGATCATGATCCTGAACAACATTGAAAAAGTTTCAGCCATTGTTCGGACACCTTGAATAATGCTATTGTCGACGGTACTGTAACTTTCAAGCTTCATAACTCAAGATTTACTTACCGAAAATACATTTTACCTATATGTTTTGGAAAGCTCTCGAAATAAGCTACAAGAATATGTAACGAAAAATAGGGGGTTCCATTTAAAAAATTTAAAG